TTCCTGGGGGATCCTTTGGGCTCTGTCAGGATGGTCTGGCAGGGCTCAGAGGCTGCAGGCTGTTGGAACAGCTCTGGGAATTAGAGGGTGTGGTGCAGCAGAGGCTCTGTCCTGGGCGGGGTGACAGCAGTCTGTGTTTGGGTTCTGCAGCCAAACTCTTGCCTCAGATTGGGCCAGCCCCCCTTGGGGAGGGAGCACAGCCCTGAGCAGAGGCAGCCTCAGCCCCGTGCCCCCTGGCAGGTCTGGTTCTGCTGGTGAGCAGGGGGGGTTCAGAGGGCACACCCACTGCAGCCCCTGCTCCCGGCAGGAGCCCGAGCTGCCCGGTACAAACCAGAACAGTTTGGGCCTTTCCTTCCTTGGCAGAACTTGGGGGCAGATCCAGGTGACAGCGTAGAGGAAGGTGTCCCCAGCCAAGGTGACAGTGCACAGCAGGACTGGGGAAGCCTTTCAAAGGCAAGAGCTAGAAGAAAGCTGCTGTCACTGGTTCCTTTTTTCTCCCCCCCATTGAAGAATCCTGCACTGGGCTCAGACTCATCCTCACCTTCACTGTGTGTTAGTGAGCTGGGTCTGTGCTCTGTGTGCCTTCCACAGGGGTACCAGTCTGCTGCATTTTACAGCCTTGCTCCCCAAAGGGCACAGGTCAGCTCTGCTGTTTGAAAAACCACTTACTGCTGGTACATCAGCCACGTTAAGGAGAGTTTGTCTGTACCATATTATCCTGCCTCTCATCACTCCCCTCCACTGCTGGCTCATGAGCTGACCTTCTCTTTGCTCCTCCTTGGAATTAGGCACATTCTGTGTCAAAGGTCTTGGGAGGCGAGGCAGGAAGGGAGAAAAGGCAAAGTGGTAGTGCAAGGAAATGTGCCCGTTCTTTGCTGATTTTTTTTCTTTCTTTAAATCTGTTTCTACAATCCAGATTGTTAATGAGCTGCAATATTTAAGAATGTGCCAAAAAATAACCACCACAGAAAATGATACTAACTCTGAATAAAATACCAACAAGCAAAAATAGGATTTTCAGTTTAGCAACTAGATATACATTTAACAGTGTATGTAAATAATTCAAAGGGGGAAGGGTATCAAGTTCTTTGAAATAACTACAGAAGAGACATAAACTTGAATTAGTGGCTGGGAGTTAGGGACATAAAAAGGAGCTTAATGCATTTTTAACAGTTATTAACCACTTGAACAGACTACAGGCAAACATGGTCCATCACCTCCAATGCCTTCTAAGGGAAAATAGGATGCTTTTCTCAAATAGCTGCTTTGGGCCCAGTCAGTGAGTGAGAGCAAAGTGCTGATGGCAGTCAGGGGTGGGCCAGGCTGTAGCTAATCAGTGAGCTGCAATTTAAACTTGGTCTTTTATTTGTTTCCTAGTGAAATCAGTCAGTTGGCTTACAGCTCTTCTTCTGCAGCATGTTTTGGCTGGACCAGGGAAGTAGAGTCATAGATGATGTGGTGATGGTATTTCCCTGCCATCCTCCTTGGGCCCAGAGGCAGCGTGCCTATGGGGCAGAGCTGGAAGGGGCATTATCTGCTGTGCATGAGGTTTCTGAGTGGATTTCTTTAGGAGCAGAGCTGGGTGATGGGCAGGAGAAGGAAGTTACTCCATAGGTTTCCTGGTACCTGGTGTTATTAGTTGTTTTACTCTGGTATTTTAATGGACCCCTTTGGTTGTCAGGAGGAGGAATCAGTGTGGCTGGCTTTGCAGAGGTGTTATTCCCATGCTGAGTTCTTCTCCTTCCATGCCCTCAGAGCAAACACAAGCTATACCATCACACTAGATAGATCATATGCTTGTAAAAGGAACAGCATACTGCTGCTTGCCTAGTGCTTCATGCATGGAGACAGTGCACCACAAAAATATATATATGCATTGTGGTTCATGGAGGTGTGAGCATTGAAAAAATGCTGAACCTGGCATTCATAAAGCAAACCTCCTGATCTTCTGTGTGTTGTGTGATATCTCTTGTTCAATGGCAACAACTCTTAACAGTCCACAGTTGAAATAAAATGGTTTCATACTGCATAATTTCAGCACTTTATAAGAGGAGTCAACAAGGTCCACTGCTAACGTCTTGAGCAGGAGATGAAGCTCATGTCTTCACTTGCCTTTTGGGTAACTTTTCCTCTGGTCCCTTGTGCTAGGATACCCAGATACAGTCCATGTGCTGTATGTGATGGGTCATCCTGCCCTGCAGTAGGTTTCTAGGAGCTCAGAAGTCCTCACTTGGTGGTGGCTGAACCCACAGGGTCTGTGTGGGAGATGAGGAGCCAGCCTGGGCTTCTCTGCCTGGTGCAGAGTGAGGGCAGCTCTCTCTTGCTGACAAGACATTGGCTTCGGGGTTTGTATCAGCTCATTTAGGGGCCCTCAAAGGGACTGGTGTCAAATGCTGCTGTGTCAGGGCTGCATTCAAAGCACTTCTCTTCAGAAACTCATGAGTATAGAGGCTTGCTGTTCTCTCCATTCCTAGCACACTTGCTCTTTCAGCAGTCTTGTTTGTGGTTGCACAGCATCTGTGCCAGCCAGGGCCCTGGCATACGGTAGTCTAAAATGGCCACTCTAGTTCCTTTTTAAAAAGGGAGAGTTTTTTTCCCTTTTTTGCTTCGAGGCTATATCTGTAACTAAATTTTAGGATTGCTGTCAAAATTATCACCACCAGTTACCTGCTCAAGCACCACTTGCAAGATCACACCTCCTAAAATACAGTATCTTTGATAGCTGGCATGTGGTTGATTCATATGTGTGAAGGTGTTAGGCATCCTGACCTAAACTGAAACAATCACTTGGTGACAACCCTTGAATGTATGCACAGCATGCACAAGCCTTACTGGAAATTTTTGTTTCATTTGGGTTTTTTTTTTCTCTGAAGTGACAACAGAAGTTAGTTAAGAAGCTTAAAAAGACAAGAAGAATCAAGCTTGTCAGCAAGTAACAATTACTCACATGCGAGGTATTTCTTCAGTGTGGTTCATTAAAAAACCCTTTTCCTTCACTGCTGCTTCATCACAGGGAAACTTCTTCTGCCCAGGCTCTTGAGATGTGCAGCCAGGTGACAACTTGACCAGCAAATCCTGTTTTTTCAGCAAGCAGTTACCCTTTCTGCAACTGATGGTTTATGCTGGTCTATCTGTAAAATATTACTATTGCTATGCTCGTTCTGTCATACTGGTAGAGTCAAATTTTCAAGATGCTGCTTAGACACAAACTTTCTTGCAGCCACCAAGTACCAGACAGTGCTTCAAAGGGTTGGCTGCCTTAAATAACCCAGCCCTGGGTTTGGTTAGTGGCCAGCAGCTCAGCAGAACCCATGTTAATGCCTCTCTTGGTTATGGCTGTAGTTTGACAGTGCTCTGTCTGCTAGGTCTGGGCAGGTCAAAGAAGCAGTTTAGAATTTAAAAAAAAAAATCTGGATAAGTTAAACTATCACTTGGACAAAGGATGTTTTTATTTGGGTATGTGTTAAGATAAAACACCAAAAGTCCTGATATAAAGTACTGGAGTAGAGAATCATTCTGCAAATACTATTGGGCACCCAGCTCGTGTGGTGTTGTGTCGCAGGGCTCGGGGTGGTTCCTCCACGGTGACACTGGGTGGAAGGGGCAGCCCTGGGTGGGAGGCACCTCTCAGTGCTCTGGTGTGTCTGTCCTACTGCTCCCCTTGCGTGGGTGTCAGGAGGAGGTGCCAGCATGACTGGCTCTGCAGACGTGTGGTGCCCACGCCGGGTCCTTCTCCTTTCCCTCCTCCCTGTTAAACACCAAAAGCAAGAACAAACTCCTTAGAGTTTACCTGAGATGTCCTGGGCTTGTAGAAGGCATTGGGATGGTGGTCGGGGAGATCTGGTGGGAATGACCAGCTGCTTTAAATAGTGGTGGAGCTGCTCCTCCCTCTGTCATCCAGGGCAGAGCTTTGAGGGTTCCCAGGTCCTCCAGCGCTGGTCTGGCTGCGGCTGCTGGGCGGTGACCCCAGGCAGGGGTGGCAGTGACCCCAGGCAGGGGTGGCAGTGACAGCCTCTTGCTCTCCACTTCTCGGGAAGGCCACAGCACGTTTTGCTGTTCCCCTTTTCATTTGTTTCCTCAATAAATCAGCCTTCATTCCTCCTCATCGTGCGGAGCCGATGGGTCGTGAGCCGCTGCAGAATGCTAACTAATTTCATAATGCTCTGCATAAGGTGACCCACTTACAAGTTCATCCTTCAGTCGTGTTGAAGCTCTGGTCCTGATTTATGTAACAGCATATTGGTTTCATCAAGACTTGTCTGATCGCTCACTGTGTTGGCTCCTTTTCGACCTGTGCATGATTTGTATTCCTCTCAATTTTAGGAAGAACTTTCTGTCTCTGTGCACATATGGGCAGAAGAACGTTAATAAACCTTTTTAAAAGCAGCCAGTGCTTTGAGTTTTTCTGTCAGTTAAAGATATATTAGAGTAGGAATTAAAAGGTGTTTGAAGAAGTCTGCTGCAGACAGGGCAATGGAAACTTAGCACGAAACGTCCCTCATTACATTGCTCTGTTTGTGCATTTTTGGACTGTGATTAGCATCGACTGTTGCCTGGTATGAGTCACAGTCCCTCTGGCAGGAGGGCAGGAGGGCAGGACAGTCCTTTTCCCTCTGTATTTTGCTCATACTCCATTTCTGAATTGCAAATCAAATTACAGATAATTCCATTGTCCTTAGCTTACCTTAACTCATTGTATTTGCCTTAATTCTGTTGTTGAGAGAAGTGTGCTGCCTAATTGTATTAGGGCTAGAGTGATTCATTACACTCACTTTTCTCTGAAAATACTTTTGGAAGTTGCTAATAAGGGAGTTAATGTAGCTGAGACGCTTGAGCTTCCTTAACAATAAAGTACAAGCTTCCATTGCTCTCCTTTTTGGTTTACTAAAAACTCATTAACCTCCCAGCCCTCCAGGATGTCACGCAGTGCAGAAAGGTGAAATAATCTGTATTTAAACCTGTGTGTCAAGGTACAAATGCTGTCCCATTTTCTCTTGCAGCATTCGTTCTTCTGCCGCCTGACGGAAGATAAGAAGTCTGAAAAGTTCTTCAAGGTTTTTTATGATCGCATGAAAGTGGCGCAGCAAGAGATCAAGGCTACTGTCACAGTCAATACTAGTGACTTAGGAAATAAAAAGAAAGATGAAGACTCAGACAGAGATGTACCAAGCAGGAAAAGAGGTAATCCCCAGTTGTTCCGTTTCTGAAGTGACAAGGGAGTAAAATGACGTGTTTTGGATTCACTTCAATCGATGCAATAATGCTCTGATCTCTGATCCCACAGAGCAAAGTTCAGAGATCAGTGGTGCCCTGGCTCAGGATTTCAAGAGCTTCAGCCCCTCTTCATCCATTTGTGAGATTGTGCTATTGAAATGATGAAAAGTGTTTCTGAGATGAGACTCTGCCGCCTTGTCTATCGTGACAAGCTGCCCAAATCTGATCCGTAATAACGACCCTGGACTGTGGGTTGTGGTCAGTGCCTTCTCTAAGTGGAGAAATCCTCCTTTTGTTCTCTAGAAGGTCCTTCTGTTGTAACTCCTGATAGTGCTAGATGTGTGTGCCCTAACCAATTAATACTGGAATTGGGAACTTTCATGTGGCTCGCATAGAAGGTGTGAAGAGTGACGTGAACCCTCCTAAACTCGAGACCCTCACATCACACTAAACATACTTACCCGGAGATGGTGACTAGCTGGCCTGCCTGTGAAACCAGAATGGGAAGTGTGTGAAGAGATTTTCTGGTCCCAGTTACCCAGCTTGCCTTGTTCTTGTGTGTTGCAGTGAGGGAGCCTATGACCCAGATCACCGAGGAGGTCCGGGATCAGTTGCTGGAGGCCTCTGCGGCCACCAGGAAGGCTTACAACGCTTACCGGAGAGAGGCCGATCCCGACGACCATTACTCAGCAGGAGAAGGAGCTCAGGCTGCAGCAGACAAGAGCAAAGATGAGCTGGAGATGAGTGCTGTGATCTCCATCATGCAGCCCATCCTCCGGTTCTTGCAGCTGCTCTGTGAGAACCACAACCGGGATCTGCAGGTACTGGCTCCGGAGCAGGGGCTCGTGTTGTGCTGCGCTCACCACTCCCGTGCTTGGGCAGCTGTGTTCTTTGGCCTTGAAGATAACCCAGAAAAAGTACTTATGCCTTGCTGGACAAATACAGGGAGGTTCTATTCTTCAGTGTTCAGTGGTCTTTTCAATGTGTGTGAACAGTGGTGGGATCAATACTTGATGTGGCTTTTTTACGGTGTATCTTTAAAGCAAGCAAGTCTTCTGCTTTGAAGTTACTCATCTACTTGTGAGAGGGGAAGGAAGGAAAGAAAAAAGCCATGTAAGAAAATAGAGTATTGGGACTTTGGTTCCAGCAGCCCTCAAGCATAGGCTCGCTTTCCAGTGAGCAGGTTCTCATGGGCTTTCATGGATCTGTTCGTGTGTGTGGAGTGGAACGCATGGGGATGGTAAGAGGAAAGCCTTACCTGAGTGGAATCTGGTGAGGGACAGGAAGGACAACAGGAAGGGTGTCTAGGTTGTACTCACAGCAGAAGGAGACTAGGGAGAACATAGGTCTGCTGCTGAATGTGGCAGAAACCCAGGCTGGGGGGATTTCACCCCTGTGCCAGGGGATGTGAAGAGGACGGAGCAGAAGGTCAGAGTTTTGCTCACAGATGGGCTGCGATGAACGTGGGTCTCATCCAGCTGCTGGGTTAGAGCTGAGTGGAAGCAAGGGGCCTGTGAGATGCAGCACGATGCACTAGATGCCCTCAGAAAGGAGGAATAATTGCTGTGGTGGCTCATTGTGCAGCACGCCAGACCCGTGAGAGCTCCTCAGACCTGGCCAGTGGCTTCTGCTGTGCCAGCTCTGCACGGCAGCGCTCCTCCGCTGCCAGCCTGCAGTGCTGCTGGCTTTTATGGGTGCCCAGGTTACATGCATCAGGCTTCCTCCTCATCTCTTCAAAAAAGCTGTGTGATCTTCATTCTGTCAGAGCATTTCCATGCTGTTGGCGGTGTGGGAGACGAGTGGGACAGCAGCTTGGTGTGGCAGCCAGCCAGACCCCACACACGGGATCCTTCCCTGCTGCCGGCTTCGCCCGGGCACTGAAAGCTATAGGAGCAAAACTGAACTCAAGCCAACACACAGACTTGGCTTGAGCTGCTCACCATCCTGAACAATTACATTTCCTAACAGCAGGTAGCTGAGTTTGGCTCTGGGAGGAAAAAAGGTGGGTTTTTTAAAAAAAAGGGAAGAGGAACAAATTTTTGGATAGAATCCTCTTGCTGCTGACATGCCTGTCTCCTGCAGCCCCATAGGAGAAGCAGGAGGGTCTGAAGCTTCAAAATCCTTGTGTCTGCAGCTGGTACATAGTAACTGAGCCCCGTATCAATATCACCTGTGGCCTCACTGCTTAAAGGAGTAAGAAAGAGCTATTCTGCAAGCTGTGCAACTTCCAAAAGTGCTTGTTAGGTTTGAATTAGAAGCACATAGGGATCACCTGCCCAATGCAGCTGTAGGTTTGTTAAATGAAGCATTATGAAGGCTGTTAGCAACTGCCAGTGGCCTGATGTGCAGAACCAGACAAGTGCAAGTCACAGCTGCAAGGGTGGGTAGGTGCTGTAGCTGAGGAGGGAGTCCCTGTGAAGAGGCTGGGGGAGCTGCAGCACTCTGCATCACACAGCTAAAGCATCTCTCTGTTCCACTGTCCCCTCCAGCTTACTCCAGAGGAGCTGCTATGTCTTCTCCAAATTAATATGAGGAGCAGGACAAACGGGTGGGCTTCTGTGTTTTATTACCCACCTCAGGCTGAGTGCATCAGCCTTTGCTGAGCCCTCCTGTTGATCTCTCTATCACACAGATGCTTGGGCAATGTTGTTAAACTGGCGTTGGGTCTGAGCCCTCGTTCTGGGCGAGAGCTCAGCTTGAAGGCAAAGCTGTGGTGGCTCCCAGCTGCTGCAGCCAGCCTGGCGCCTGGTCTGCTTTGGGCAGCCTGCAGCCCCCAGGCTCCTGAGGAGGTCTTTTCTGCACCATCTCCCTTCTGAATGAAGGTGTCCCTGTGTGCTACAGAACCCGTCACGAGAACTGGAGCTTGTGACAAGCTGAGTGAAGCTGGGAGCACTTTGCTGGAAGCCAGAGCTGTGCTGACTGGAGGAGAGGAACAAGGATTCCTCTTGGGACAGGGAGCAGTAGGAGTGAGGATTCCAGGCAGGACAAGGAGCAGTGTCCTCCCCTTGGAGCTGGTGTTGGGGAAGGTGATGCCCAGCAGCCTTCCACACAGCCACAGCCAAGCACACACCTTCAGCATGACACTTAAATCCCACCTTGATGGGAAAAAATACTACTCCAGTTACAGAACTGCAGAATCCCAGCGTGGTGGGGTTGGAAGGGACCTCTGGAGATCATCTCATCCAGCCCCCTGCTCCAGCAGCTCACCCACAGCAGGGTGCCCAGGGTCACATCCAGGCAGGTTTGGGATCTCTCCAGAGCAGGAGACTCCACAGCCTCTCTGGGCAGCTGCTCCAGGCTCTGCACCGTCCCACCAAAGTTGTGTTTCATTATTCTTTTTCTGGCCAAGTGCTTTATTTCTGTAAAACAAAAATATTGCAGTAACACACTAGCCAGTTACACTCAGATTAAAGGTTTAAGTCAGTAGGTTAAATACTGCATTTGTGCAAAACCAGCAGGACTTGATCCAACTTTTACCATTGGATTTAACCATTTCTTTTATTCATAATCCCTGGAGGCAAAGGGAAGGTAATAAGGAGCAGTAAAGCTCTGTGTGCTGCAGGAGGGTGATTCCATCAGTTGGCCAGTGGAGCACACAGAGTGAGCTGGTTTAGCTCCTTGTGAGGATTAACCTGGTAAGACCAAAGAGCAAGCCTGTATTCAGGGGAAAATGTCTTGCCTTACCTGATGGCTTGTGTGAGGAGAAATCTGAGCATTTAAATATATCTCTTTACTGACTTTCTTCCTTTATATTTTCTTTATTTGTGAGGTTCTTCCAATTAGGATCAGATTCCTGCAAAAACAAAGACTGTCCAAAGAAAACATTGAGGCTTTTGGGGGAATTACCCCTTTAAATGATAGATGTTCTGTATTCATCCCAGCTTGAGCAAACCAGGCTGGTATTCTGAAAAGAGCCAGTTTTATTTTTGGTCATTGTCTTTTCTCTAAAGGGTGTTTGGCTTCAGGTTCTGTGAGGGGAAGCAGAATCTCCATCCCCCCAACACACTTCAGAGGCATCAAGAACTGGCTGCAGATGCTGCCTTTGCAAGTGCAGCCTTACCTGGTCATGCATCCCAGAAATGGGGAGGAGTGGGCTCCCTAAAAATAAGTAGCATGAAGTCAGTTCAGTGGCACTTAGGGACATGGTTTAATGGTGACCTGGCAGTGCTGGGTTAACAGTTGGAGTCAATTAGGTTGGAAAAGACCTTTAACATCAATTACTGTGATTCTAAGTATCTCCAGAAGGTTATTCACAAAGGTAGGAGTTTAAAGATTGCCTGACTCTGAGTACACTTCATCCTATTGGAAAGTATTCCTCTCTCAACTGATTATGTTGGATCCTTAGAGTTAGGCAGTAGGTGTGCTCTTTTCCCTCTTTTCCCCTCAAGATCCCATAAGTTGCATTTTTTGTTGTGCTGTAGCTGAATCTGCAGCCCTGTTGCTCTTTGTTCTGAATGTGGGGTCCTGTGGGTGGGCCCATGAGTGCTCTGGGTGACAGGCTCTGAAGAGCTCCATCTCTGCTGGCTGAGGTGGCAGTGGACATTTCCTGGGGCAGTTTCTCACAGTGCAGCAGGGTCTTGTCTTCTACAGTTTTTTCCTTGCCCTTGTTTTGCCATCTGACGTCCTTCTGCCTCCTGTGCCTCCTTCCTCCTCTTCTCTTTGTGTTTATTGACTTTGGATGGAGAAGCCAAGGCTGGTATAAACCTAAAATCAGAAGAAACACTCAACTGCAGCCAGGGAGAATTTTGTTTCAACACTTTGAGTATTATCCATTATTTTTGCCTTTTTTTCCTGGAGGGAAGGCACGAGCTCCTCTTTCTGCAACATCAACCTTTCCACGTTCTGACAAGTTAATCAAAAGCCAGGTTACTAAATGAGCAATCAGCTGAAATCTGCTGAATCACTGTCACCTTTAGTCTGCATTCATAGACAGCATTTTCCTTTTTTAGCTTTGCCTTCAGTTGGATCTGGCAATTTCTCAGTCTGTTTGCCTTAGAAGACTTATTAGCCTGACGCAGGCGCTGGAGGCAATCGGTTACCAGTGCTGCTCTGCAGGCTGGCAGGAAAGACCTTGCTGGTTCCACAACCCCATGAATCTTGTTCATCTGAGGGATTTTTTTCACCTTTGAAGTGTTTTGTAACCTGCTAGAATTCAGCTAGGCAGGAGTTTTCCTGCTGGAACTTGAGGAAAGGAAGGGGGTAGTGACTGTCCAGTTCTACACTGCACCACTGGGAACACACTGACAACAGTGACTGAGTCATGGGGAAATTCTTTCATTAATTGTCCTTCTTGGTTTTAGTTGGATTTTTTGGGGGGTTTGTTTGGTTTTGTGTTTTTAACTTGAAATGGAGAGAAAACATGTTTAATCCATGCTGATAAATGTGGCGTTTCACTAGAGGAGCTGCTCCTAACCAAGCAGCTTGAAGCAGGGATCCCAATAATGATGTGGGAAGCAGTGCAATGGAGAGAACTGCATTTTGAGACACCTTCCTTCAGGGCATGCAGTCAGGTGCCTCCGTGCAGGTGGTGCTGCTGTGAAGCCAGAGCCAGGGAATTGCTGCCTGTGTCCTGGAGAAAGGTCTCGGGAGGTGAGAGCCTAGGGTGATGGTTGGCAGTGAAGGGTGGCAGGCAGGCTGGAAGGAAGTTTTCTGTGCTGTGGTGAAGAGCCTGTCCCGTGCTGGGTTCAGTGCCCTAATGGATGCACTCTGTTCATTCTGCTAGTCTTTGGTGAGATTTGAAGTCAACGAGCTGCTCAAGAGAGCAACATATTGCAAGCAAGCCCTCAAAGAGGCTTAAATTGCATGTCTAGGCTCCAGTGAAATGAGACCAATATACCATGCAGTGCAATTGTGTAAAATATTATGATTCAAACATCCCTTTGTATGTTTTTTTCCCCTTCTCTCCTGACTTCACACCCTCCCCACAGAATTTCCTTCGCTGCCAGAACAACAAGACCAACTACAACTTGGTGTGTGAGACACTGCAGTTTCTGGACTGTATCTGTGGAAGCACAACTGGTGGACTTGGACTTCTTGGTCTCTACATAAATGAGAAGAACGTTGCACTCATCAACCAGACGCTGGAAAGTTTGACTGAGTACTGCCAGGGGCCTTGCCACGAGAACCAGGTAATCACCCAGAGCTGTAGAAAGCACCAGCCTTTCTCCTTTCACCAGCAGCCTGTGCTCTGCTGGGCTTGGCTCTCACTCTGCCAGACCCATGCTGCCTTGTAACACTGCTCATGTTATGTATTGTACAAAGGGGGTTTGATCTGGGTGGTTTTTTTATTCCTTTATAAACTCACAATAATCAACTTCTCTTTCTCAAGACCCCCTCTGAGGAGTTGAACCACTCAAAGCAGTAGAGATTTTTCTGCTTTGCTAGGATTTAAGTTGTTCTATTAGACTTGACAGGGGATTTTTTTGTACTTGAAATACTTTATGATAAAAATGTTGTTTGAGCCAAGCTCTGCCTGTTGTAAATGAAGGCAGAAATGTGGTGGTAGCCTGATGGGAGGAGGTTGAGCTCTGTAGCTCTGCTCATGAAGGTGGTAAGTGTGTAGAGCAAGGTGCATGTTGGTGCTGACTGTATGAGGATGTGGTGGTGGTTCTGATGAGCATACTTGAAACACTTCATGGTAAAAATGTTGTTTGAGCCAAGCTCTGTTGCCTGTTGTAAATGAAGGCAGAAATGTGGTGGTAGCCTGATGGGAGGAGGTTGAGCTCTGTAGCTCTGCTCATGAAGGTGGTAAGTGTGTAGAGCAAAGTGCATGTTGGTGCTGACTGTATGAGGATGTGGTGGTGGTTCTGATGAGCAAGCCTGGTGGTTTAGGGAATGGTCTTACAGGGAGGACATAGCAGTGGTGGCAGTACTCCTGCCAGGGGCAGCTGTACTGCTGGTGTTGACAATTAACACGTCTTAATTGTGTGTTAGAGAAGAGCACTTCTCCCATAGGGCTGCTCAGTCCTGTGTTCTGGGGTGGGTGTCACCCTTCTAACAAGCAAACCTCTGCACTTACAGACATGGCTATCTGCTCATCTTCTCCATTTGGGTACCATTTGAACCATAGCATGGTATGGAAAGACTGGAATATGACCTTTCAAAAAGTCTTCAAGAATATCTGTCCTTTCAAGGGCCTTTTCTTTGTGCACTCAAACGTGATGTGCAGCAGAGCTAACCAAAGGGTGCTGAGGGTGGCTGCTGTTAGGTGAAATCAAATCTACACAAGTTTCTCTCTTTTATACAGATTGGGTGGAATAACAGCCTTGAGATAGAGGTGTGGATCTTCACAGTGGAGCTCAACAACAGCAGGGCTCTGGATTTTGAAGCCAGCAAGCTACTGTTGCTTTGTACATTTTAGTTATAGGCCATTTTAAAAGCAGGGCTAAAGGGTAAGCAAGAAGGCTTCAGAAATTCATGGGTTTGGGTTAGACAGGACTGAAGTAGGTGTTGAGTGGCACATCTAAAATACAGAAAATCCTCCCTAATCTTGGTAAAACAGTGTTCTTCCTTAGCTATGTGTTCAGCCTGGATGCTTTGGCATGTAAGGGCTTCGTTTATCAGCTGTGGGGCTTTCTGCTTCCTGAGGCTGGGTGGTTCCAGCAGGACGTGCCATGGCTGATGATAGGAAAAGCTTGGAACAAAATCTGCCTCAAATCTTTTGTTATTCCACTGACTGGAGTTTTGGGTTCAGTTATCCATCTCGAGCAGCCTAGGAGGTGATGAAAGAGGTGACTCCTCTGTTCTGGCTGGGTCACCAGCCCAAGGCTGTGTTTTTAGTGTGGACAATTAGTGAAGCTGGAATTCTCTTTGGACAGAACTGCATTGCTACTCACGAGTCCAATGGCATTGACATCATCACAGCATTAATTCTCAATGACATCAACCCTTTGGGAAAGAAGAGGATGGACCTTGTGCTGGAACTGAAGGCAAGTGAATATTTTGTGCAATCCACCTTAACCCTGAGATGAAACATTATTTTGTAGTTGGAGTTATGTGGGTGTTTATTATATAGCAGTATTCCTAAGTGCCAAAAATTTACATGCAGAAGCAAGCTGGAGGCAGTGCCTAGAGTTTGTTTCAGAGGTATTTCATCTTTTACATGATAACATGAAGTCACCCGTGTTCAGATGGGAGGGGATGTGTTGTGGAATGAATGGCTTAGGTTGATGAAAGCATCCCAGTCAGAGGTATCAGCAAAAGTGGCTTTAATATGAGTTTGTAAAAGAGAACTTAAAATTTGATGGCAAAGTTCATTCCATTAATTTCTACGTGGAAGAAACATTCAAAGGAAAATTGAGTTAGAATCGAGCCAGAATGATTTACACAGAGACCAGAAATGCAAAAGGGTGAGGGAGACCCTCCCATTGAGTCACAAGGTTCAGAGGGACCCTCTTCCTTTCTAAACTCCTGATGGAGCTTAGGGGCAGCTGGGTCCTGTCTTAGTCTCAAACTTGGACAACGTTTTATGTCTAATGGAAGCCATACAGAGAGTAAGGAAAACCTTCTGTTGAGTCATGAGGTTCAAAATAGCCCTCCCTGCTTTCTAAACAGATGGAGCTTAGAGGCAGCTGGGTCCAGTCTTAGTCTCAGACTTGGGTAGTGGTTTATGTCTAATGGGATTAGCTACATGGATTTCCTTAGCATTAATTCAGCATCCTGCCAGTCACTTACCAGGATCTGTTGCCAATCTCAACCTGTGAGAGGTGTCCCTGCTGAAGGGGAGAGTCACCTGGCATGCAGCCCAGCTGCAGTTCAGGGAGAGATTGGACTGGGCCCAGCTGAAGATCTGTTGTTGGTAAAAGGCTTCTCTGCCTTGAGGAGGAACCTTGAGAAGTGTCCCAGCTCCAGGGAGATCACAGCCATCCTGCTGGGCAGGAAAAGCTCACAGGAGGCTCACTTTGGCTGTCATATCGATGGGATAAAGTGGTTGGCTTATAGTCAAATTGCCTACAGTGGAAAATGAATGCACAGGACTTCTTATACCTCCAGCTTCTTGTTCCTTGACAAAAACATTCCAGATCAGGTTGGGTGGGACTCTGTTCAAGCTGCTCTAGATGTCTCAGTGCAGGAGGGCTAGACTAGATGGCCTTCAAAGTCCCTTCCAACCCAAACCAGTCTGTGGTTCTGTGATGCAGGAGTCTTGGAGAAAACTCCACGTGTTAATCTCATGGTGGGGGATCCAAGCTCATGTGCACTGATGCTCACTGGGCCACTCTTCCTTCATGGGTTGTCTAGAGGAGTTCTTGGCCCTGCTATGGCTCAGGCACTTTCCTCCTTTGGAGCCTGTACCAAGCTGCTGCTGGTTTGGTTTGGAGGGGCTGAGTGCATCCATCACAGGACACAGGCAGTCAAGATACACTGAGGAGTCATGAAATCATTTTCTGATAAAAATTTAAAGCCTGTGGAAAAGCCTCTGTTGGTGGTGAGCTTTTACATGTACAGTGGAAGTAAAATTTCCCATGCTATGTCTAATTTCCTAATGCTTTATTGCTGTTGTTTAATCAGTTGATGTTTAATCATAGAGTCTTTTAGGGCTGTTCATATTAATGCTGAAATAATGAGCCCTGATGCTGGTTTCTAAGTAGTGGGTTGTCTTCTAGCAGCTGGAGTCACAGAGCTCTCCTGCTTCAGCATGTTTTAGGAATATTTCCTTTCTGACCTGGTCCTGTCTTGCAGTGCAATGTCTAGTTGTTGTTTTCCATTGTCGACTCACACCATTATTATGGGCAATAAGGGGTTTTATTATTCTAAATAAAAAATGCTTTTAGACTCAATTAGCATTATACTTCAAAATTAAATACTTTTATTGGTTTTTATTGTCAGTCTTGATGGATTTTAATCTTAATTGCTCATATTAAAGTAGTCTGGTGCCTTGTGGTAGTTTCCCATTTCCTCCCTCTGTTTCTTGGCACGAGGAGGGTGCAGAGTAATTGTCAGTTAAAAGCAGCAAAGCACGTCTGCATCTGCAGCCTTGGCTGTCCCTTCCTTAATCAACAGCATCTCCAGGAAAGCTGAGCTGCACCATTTGGAGTTGAGAGCTCATAGTAATGCTGCAGTATCTTGAAAACAAAATAGTGCAAGCTTGAAGCATCAGCATTTTATAAATGTAAACCTTGGCTTGGGTTAATCTGATGTCTTCCCATGTATAGGGTTTGGGAAAAAAAACTGGGAAAAATACTATGACTGTGTATATCTCAGTGATTAGAGGAGGGGGAGTGCTTGGTGAGGGTGCTGGAGTCCTGCACTGGGCTGACTGGGAAGGTCTGCCTGGCCCAAGGGCTCATCTATGTAGGAACCAGGTATCTCACAGAATCATCAAATGGTCTGGGTTGGAAGGGACCTTAAAGATCATCTAGTCCCAACACCCCTGCCATGGGCAGGGACACCTCCCACTAGACCAGGCTGTTCAAAGCCCCATCCAACCTGGTCTTGAACACCTCCAGGGATGGAGCATCCACAGCTTCCCTGGGCAACCTGGGCCAGTGTCTCCCCACCCTCATGGTGAAGAACTTGACGTCCACCTGGGCAGCAGGGATGGTAGAGCTCCAGCTGGGTACCTGTGTTTTCTGACTCCTGGCAGTGACTGTTTTTCCCTCCCTTCAGAACAATGCCTCAAAACTGCTCTTGGCCATCATGGAGAGCAGGCACGACAGTGAGAACGCAGAGAGGATCCTCTACAACATGAGGCCTAAAGAGCTGGTGAGTCCATGGGTTGCTCCAGAGCTCCCAACTCCCTTCAAGCCAGGGCTGGGCAGACTGGGGTGGCCATGGGCACCCCAGGCCTGCTGCCAGAAGTCTGTGCATGGATCACAGGCAACTGGCAGACCTTTGGGGATGGGGTTGAATGAGGGTAATGCCCACAGGAGACAGGTCTGTCCTGTTCCCAGGCAGTGTGAGCAATTAGGGAGGCTGTGCTGTGGAGGAGGCCTGCAGCATGAGGTGGGGAAGGGGCATCATCTGATGCTTTGGAATCCACACGTAGAAGCCATTTGCACAAGAGACAGAGGAACAAAAATTTCTTGTGACCTCAAAGCTGTTCAGCAGACTGTAACAGGCTCTTGGGCTGGTCCATGTATTAATGGGTGAAAACACAAACAGGACCTTCAGAGGAGAGCTGGAACACTGTCAGCTTGTCTGGGGGCAGGTAGCTGTGGCAGGGGCCAGGGGTCAGGACGTGATGCAGTGTGTGGGGAGGGTGGCCCAGAATCTGGCACCCAGAGGGGAACATGAAGTTTGGCTTCTTGTGTGGATAAGCTGGGCTGCAGCTGCTGAGTTCAGGTCTCCTGTTTTAGCCTGGCTGTTGAGAAGCCCATTGACCTTCCTCTTGAACACATGCCCTCAGCTCCCTTTGTGTAGCAAATGTTTACTGACTTAAGCAGGCTTCAGCCCTCAGCCTGAGCTGTCTCTTTGTTGTCTTTCTAGGTGGAAGTGATAAAGAAAGCTTATATGCAAGGAGAAGTAGAATTCGAGGATGGAGAGAATGGGGAAGATGTTGCAGCATCTCCAAGGAACGTGGGACACAACATTTATATATTAGCTCATCAGGTAGAACTTTACCTACAGCTTTTCTAGCACCAAGTGTCACAAACCATGGATAACTTTTCCCTGGGATTGTTTTCATGGCTCAGCTCTGAGATCTGGTAAAAGGCACTGCATGGTGCCTTTTATGAGAGCAAATTCCAGTCCTTGAGGAACTGGAAAAGAAAATTCTGTAATAGAAGAAATTTTTTGGAGGTTCCTTTTATGATAGGAAGCAGGCAGGCTCTTGACCAAGTTTCTGAAGACATGTGATTCAAGTTCTTGGCAGTACTGGGGAGCAATGTATTATTTGTCAGCTGTATCAAAGGCTGCTTTATACTCCTGAAGAAATTCTACTCACTGATCAATTAAACTGCAAGCAGAAATCCCACTCTGCTCTCAGGGTTCTTGCCACACTCGCTCTATGCTGGAGCCAGTCAGGTTCCCTGCACTCATACAATGTGGTATTGGAAAAGTAAAAGACCAAAGTGGGAGAGAAATGTATCTAGATCTACTTCATATATTGATGCTACTTATATCACACTGGTAGAGACTTCTTGTTCCTTGAGCATCAGAGAAGAAAAAGCACAACTCTGCTGTAAGGTGAATGTAGAGCATCCAGCAGCATTTTTGGAGCAGTGCTCTGTGCATCTGCTGCTCAGATGCTGCAAATTTTCTCTTTTGTCCCTGCCTAGATACTTGTGTGACTAGCACACCTTGGAGTTCAGGTGGGTGTGGAAGGGGAGACAGTGTTTTATGTTCAAAAGTTCCTCAAGTCAGGCCAAGGGTGGGAGAGGGTGGGTAAAAGAGTACAACAAAGATATTAAAAAAATACATATTTGAATCATTCTGACTTGCTCCCAAAATAGAGCTGCAGGGTGTCTGGTTGGAATAGAACAAGCCTTCTGTCAACTTTGCCCTTTCCTAGCAGCTGACTGCATACTATGTCTTTTTTTATGCCAAAACCCAGAAATTTAATATCATAGAGAGACATCTGGTGTCTCCCACTCCCTTTGCATTCCTTTATTTTAGTTGGCTCGTCACAACAAAGAGCTGCAGAACATGCTGAAGCCAGGAGGTCAGATCGAGGGGGACGAGGCTCTGGAGTTCTACGCCAAGCACACTGCACAGATCGAGGTACTGGGGGGCAGGGGGTGAGGGGGGCAGGAGAGCTGCCCCCAGAGGGGCTGTGTGCTTCAGCACCGGCTGCACCAGAGCCCGCGTGGCCGTGGAGCTGCCTACCTGTGCGTGCCCTGCCCTCTCTGACATCCCAGCATAGGTGCCCTTATTTTCTACATCTGATTTCTTGACAGCCGCCGGGGGGGAGCTATTTTTGAGCTGTCATGTGTGGGCTCTAAGATGGAGCTGAGCAGAGCTCTCTCTTGGCAGGAGGAAGTGTAACTTCGCTTCTGTTCCGTTTTGGCCGGTGCTGCTGCCGAATCCATGAAGTCAGTGAGAGCTTTTGCCATTCTGTCTGTATTAAAATGACAGTTTGGCCTGATGTACAAGCCAAGATGCTTTTGAAAATTAAAACACCCACAGTTACAGAGAGAGCTCTCACAAAACTCTCTAATAAGGAATAGAAACATAATTATTATTCTTTGTGTGCATATGTGGCTTCAATTTGCTAAGGTTCTTGAACTGGGCGACCAGATTGCTCTGAAATCCAGCACAGATTTGATTCATTGGGCCCCTTGGAAATCCCAGCTAAGAACAATATTGCCAGGGTGAGACCACAGCATAAAAATTATCAGTCTTGGAGCTAAATGTAGGTCTGCTTTGAAAAGTAAATTAAATGAAGTCTCTATCGAGGTGGTGTTCTACAGAAATGCGTCCAAGTTTCTCCATGTAGGGAGAAGGGAAAGGGAAAAAATGAAAGGGAAGGGAGAAAATAAGCAGATAAACAAAGAAATCAAAGCTTTTAAAAACTAGGAAGAGCTCTAATAATGCTGCTGTTCAGATTGTCAGGTCAGACCGTACCATGGAGCAAATCGTCTTCCCCGTGCCCAGCATCTGTGAGTTCCTCACCAAGGAGTCCAAGCTGCGGATATATTACACCACAGAGAGGGATGAACAAGGCAGCAAGATCAACGACTTCTTCCTGAAATCAGAAGACCTCTTTAATGAGATGAACTGGCAGAAGAAATTGCGAGGTGGGTTGCGGTTGCCGGCGTGGTTGTGTGGAACACTTACCAAGCAGAGCACTGAGGTCGGGTTTTCGGGAGTGTGCAACGTTGACTTGGTAGCAGATGGTTCCCCAGTGTGGCAGCAACCTTGATAATGGTTTGAAGGAGTCTGCTCCTCTGCACGATGGCAACACGCCTTAATGAAGTCAAGCTTAATGCAAGAGCAATATGGACCCACTGGAGGGGATCCAGGGGAGAGCGGGAAGAGGGATCACAGGTCATCTTTTTTAAGATCCAACAGGAAGGAACAAATTTGTGGAGGCTTAGATGAAATGAGGAGGCATTTGGTGGCAGAGAGAAATGGAGAGGACGCAGCTGAAGGAAGCAGTGGTCTGTTCTTCCCTGCACTGGGCACTTGAAGCAGTTCCTTGCACTGCTCCAAGCGAGGGTGGGTCATGCAGCGTGGACTGGGGGCATCTTCTGCCATGGAGGTACTCAAGAAGAGGTTAAAGATGCATCCTCCAGTAATAGTAAAAGCAGAATTCATCCTGTCTTTGGGCAGACAGGCTGATTAAATCCCTTCCAGTCCCATGATGCTAAAACATCTGAAAGTGAGCACTTTCAAGTGCTGCTTTTCCATCTGAGGTTCCCACTGGCAGCTAGGAAAACTTTTTAACTTCTATTTTCATTCATAGGGTGTCTCCACTTCCCCCAGTAAGCCTTCTAACTCATTGACTTTTTCTTTTTTAAAAAAAAAGTTGATTCCTTGTTTTGCTGAAGGAGGAATGTTGCACAGAGACTGAGCTGCAGTGGGCAGGGGTGAGTGGTTAGGATGCACCAGCAGTGACCCTCTGAAATGTGAGAGATAAAGCAGTTACTTCCTGCTGCAGTCAACATCTGCCATCTGATACCACTGTGGTTCCCCATGCTTGAATCAGCTAAACTCCAGTCACTGGCCCAAGGGCACAGACTGGTCTGGAACCACCTCCTGGAGCAAGTGTGAGAGGGGATAAATGTGAGGGAGCTGCTGTCAGCCACCAAAACCTTCCTGCTGGGGCAGGCAGTGCATGCCAGCAGAGGTTCCCCCTGACAGACAAGTGCTGGCACTCACTCAGCACTGCACATCATAGGAAAAAAAAGAGGTGAGAGGGACCTCTTGACTTCCCTCATTGTAGAAATGATTTTTTAGAAATAAAATGATTTCCCCTGTTGCAAGCTCTGACGATTGCATTTCACCCTGTGCACCTCCAAGAAGAGCCTGGACTCTTGCCAGCTTGTTTTTAGGGTGTGTACACACAGTTCACACTAGGGCTGATGATGTGTTGCACATTTAGTAACAGAAACTCAATATTTGCTTCTGATTATTGGGGGGTGTGTGCATATATATATGTATGTTAATAGATCTGCTAACAAAGAAAAGCAATTACAATCATATTATTTAAAATCATTAAAGTTGGATAGAGATAAGACTGTCTGAAACTTGGTCAGCTCTACTGACTTATCTTTTGTGTGTGTGAATACTAAATAGAGTGGAGCTGTTTCCACTGAACAATAAATTAGTACCTCTGACAGCATCAAAATCCCCAGGAAGCTGATTCCTAAAGTGACTAAGAGCTCTACAAGAAATGTGGGAGTATGTGACATCCTGAACAAATGGGCAACTTTATCTTTGACAGCATCCATATATTCATTTAGATTTTGTTGTTGGAGTTAATTGTCTTTGAGAGTATCTCCAGGCAAGAAGATATCCATGTGAAGATACCCTATAATAAACAACAGATCACAAATGAATCAAGATCCACCTGCAGAAGTGGAAAGTATTTCTTTTTTCTTTAAAAAAAATGGCATCATTTAGTCTGTCTCCTAATGCTCTGCTCTGTCAATACAAGTTTCTCACAGCTGAGGTACAGGTTTGTGTCTCAGGACGTGGATGGGAGGCAGTGCTCTGTGCTGTGCTCCTGTGGTACCACTTGTAGCTTATTCCAACCTGAGAGAGACTTTTTTAAACAGCTTTTTTAAAGACCCATGTCCTTCTCCCTTCAGTGGATGGTGCTAGCCCATCATCTGAGCACCATAGGTCTCCAAAGGTCTTAGTGAAGAGCTCAGATCAGCCTGCCAGAATCAGGGGGAGGTGCTACACAGGGTCTGAAGTAAAACCTGGGCTTCATAATGACTCTTTGTATAACAATCTAATACAGAGGAATTCAGCCTGCCTACCAGTTCTTCCAGTTAAAATGGGCTGGGAACAGAAGCAGTGCAGGGACCAGTGTGTTGTCTTTGGAATGCTGCTGCACAGGGTCTAAAGTAAAACCTGGGCTTCATAATGACTTTGTATAACAATCATTATAGATTATAACAGAGGAATTCAGCCTGCCTAACAGTTTTTCCAGTTAAAATGGGCTGGGAACAGAAGCAGTGCAGTGACCAGTGTGTTGTGTCTTTGGAATGTTGCTGCACCGTGGTGAGGCACAGGGAGGCTGGGCACCTTTTTGTGGTCCTTTCCTTTGCATTCAGCTGTTCAACACCTTTGCTTTTTGTGTGCCTTTCCACTCAGTATAACTCAGTAACTCTTTTAACCCTTTTTTTAATTATGTTTTGCTTGGGATGCTAGAAGAGGCAATTTGCTCAAGAGAGGGGGTGGCTGCTGTGAGGCTCAGAATTGCTGCATTCATTGTTTTACTCTTCAGCCCCAGCATTTCCATTCTCATTTCACTGAGCTTCTCTTCCTTTGTTCTCTGATACCTGTATATTACCCCCTTCCAACAGGCAAAAGCATTAGTTCTTTCCCTTCTCTGAGAGCATTTTTAACACGTACCATTTTTTTGCCACTCCAGATGTCAGGAGTACACAAGTTGCTGCTGTACAATACAACTAGAGGAGCTAAAATCAGGGGGATTTTGCCTTGCTGCAGAGGGAATTACTGGAAGGCAGCTTCTTAGCCATCCTTGTCATCTTCTGGTCTATGACCACTTCAGAAAATGAATCTTTTTGCTTTCTGTGCCTCTTGATTCTCGCTGCAGAGATGATTAAAATGAGGAGCCTTTTTGAAAAACATTTCTATGTCAGATTAAGGACGTAAAATGTGCAGCTGTTTAATGCTACACTTGGCTCTGGGCAGATGTGCTCGTGTCCTTTGCCCCCAAGGCAGGGGGAATTCTGGTTATTATCCTGGGGCTATACTGGGCTGCTCTCAGCATGAAGTAAAGCTGTCTTGCTTGGCAGCTCATCCTAAAGGTTTTGGCTTTATTTCTCTGTCGCTGTGCTGTGTTCTGTATCCTGGCTGTCCCCCTTGCCCTGTCTTTGCTGTGTTTTTCTGGCTTGCTGCTGTGGAAGGGAGGTTTGAAGGTGGGCAGCATCTGATGGAGGTGAGCTGCTGGCAGCCCAGAGGGATGGGGCTGAACCTCACTGCTGCCAACACCCACACATTGTCCTCCTCCTAATTACTTGTTCTTAGTGTGACACTGAATGCAAAGTGTATTATGAGGGGAAACCCAAAGTCCTTGACCTCTGCATTTCTGAACTCGTTCTCATGCTCCTGCTAAATCATGTTTGAAAATACTTTCCTTTTTAACATGAGTCCTTTGCCTTAAAGCACTGTCTAGGAACCTGGAAGCACTCCAGAGACAGAGTGATCAAATAAACTTCAGAATAAGCCACAAATACTGCTGCTGTTGATGCTGTGCTTTTGGGCAAACTGTAAAGAAACTGAGTTTTGGTGGAGATAATTTTTTTTTTTTATAGAGAAATCTTTTTTTTTTCTTCTTAAATGCTCCATTAAAAAGAATTATTTTTCTCTTTTGCAGCTCAGCCTTTTCTATACTGGTGTGCTCGCAACATGTCCTTCTGGAGCAGTATTTCCTTTAACCTGGCTGTCCTTATGAACCTGCTTGTGGCATTTTTCTACCCATTCAAAGGAATTCGAGGAGGTACCAATATTTAACATACAAAAATATGTGAACAAAGAAGTTACAATGAGCTGAATTCTATTCCCTACTTCTGCCTCTGCAGCCCTGTCTACTTCAGTGGGGACTGTAGAAAAGAAATTGGCTTTTTTTTAATGGCCTTGATTTGAGTTGTGCTGCTCTGAGTTTTTCTTGAGGCATTTGTAAGGAAAATGTACAGCCATGCTTTTTCCTGAGGGGGAAAACTATCCAAGACAGACATCCACCTTTAATTACTTGACTGTTCTACTTTGTTTTCAAGTTCTGTAATTAAGTATTGAACTAAAACTATGATAAATGTAAATTTGTTGTTTTTCCTTGAGCTTGCATTTTATTAATGCCATTTTCCCTA